AAAGTGTTGTACCGTGTCAGCTACGAAGCGAAAAGTTGCCAAATGGTCAAAAGATAGCGCAAGGGGTACGTTACGGAATCATGATTGCCAGTGGGAAGTATTCAAAGCAGAAAATAACTGCCCTAGCAGCTAATACGGTGCATATATTCTTCCGGATTGCCGGTTAAGCTGAAATGAAATCGACAGAAATGCTAGCGCTGTTTATGTGATGAATAAATATCTAAAACTATTAACCTCGCTAGTAGTAGTATCATTGTGTGAGTTTGAACACAGATGAACTTAGTTTAATATGTTAATGGGCATGTATCGGAGAGAGTTTACTTTGTGTTTCTATAATTATACAGTGGTTTATGCGAAAGGAAGGGATAAGTGACTGGTTAGTTTGATTTTTCCATGAGGCCCTCCAAGTGATAACTGTTGTGACAGCCACGGCGTATTCTGTTCTGTCCTCTGTCGGTACTCGGGGTCAAATGAGATACGTGCGCTATTAGATTTATGTAAAAGTCTGTTTTTTGAGAACATACAACATGGACGTGATGCTTCCAATTCTATGGTTTATTATCATCTTCAAACCCTACAAAGAAACAATAACAACCATTCAGTACATACAGTATATTAAAGGGAAACAACTCTCTTCCACACAAGATACAATATATATATCACCCTGTTAAATATCATTACACAGATCTATATACTATTATAATTACATCAATTAACATTGCGTTAATAGGCTCTGTTATTTAATTACAAATACCATTTATAGTATTCAATTACTAGTCTCAAGGTCTGATTTATAGAACTTCCTCGATCATGATTAATTACATTAATACATATTACTTTACACATATAACATTACATACATATCTCATTACTTTCTGTACACTTGCCCTACAGTATTATGCAGGGTTTTTTCCACATAGGTTCTTTGATTATATGTTTCCTGGTCAATTCTCTGGGATTCAATTCTCAACCTGATAATCAATAAAATGCTCTTTCTCACTAAATTTGCCAATAGCACTCTTACATACCATAGTACTGAATATAAATAATAAAACCATTTGCAACTTTGTAGATTTCAACAGAATAAAAATGACTATATCATCTAATTCAAAAATGTATCAAATTACTTAAAAAATGTATTTAACCTTAATTTCATTTACTGTTTAATATAGTAACCAATAAATTCATTAAACATTTATATTAGAATTAGCTAGAAGGACTAAAACTAACTTACCAAAATACTTCAATATGTGCTTGTCTCTTTTACCTTCTTCATACCACCATACCCGGGTATCTAATGTACAACTGCCTGACTTACAGCTCACAGCTAAAAACATGCTTTACCAGATGGAATCCAACCAATCGTATCGGTCCATGTCACAAGTCACTTGTCAAGGTATACCCTAACACTACTCATGTCCAGTAGCTAGTCCTAAACCGGGCAGTAGCACAATATACATTATCTAATGCATAACCTAACATACAAGATGTATTAAAGGTATATATGTTCTCTATTTGTTATGGATATAATTGAAAGTTATCAATTATGTGATGACCCATGTCAAATATATTAAAATATCTTACATAATAATTATACAATACACAATGATCTGATCCATGTCAGACAATATAAAATCTGCATTTCTGACATAATCAGACATGTCCTGGTCCATACCAGATGATTTACATATACAAAATACATTAAATACACACTGTCACATTATCCCCCCTGTTGAAAATAAAATGACGTCCACGTCATTTGCCGCTAACTACGGATAACACTGCTGATCTAGCACACTCCGGCATGTCCTGAATTGCACCAGTACGCACAAGTTCCGCTATATACTGTGCCCGTAGCAGCCAATCCGGATCTTGAGTAGCAGGAACTTGACACATAACATACTCTCCGGCTCTCTGCCACTTTGGGTTTCTTTCTTCCTTTCCGATATTCTAGGCACAGGAACTGGTCTATTTACAACAACACGCTGATCCTCTGTATCGGTGTCGTGATCAGACATCACTGCCTCACCATGATCCGGCAGCTCATGAGAATCATCCTGAGATATGGTATCATTTTCATCCGCAATGGATGCTCGGTCGTCACCAATGTCACCATCATCTCCTGTCTCCGCAACATCATCTTGATCGTCATCAGTGGGTTCGGAAACGACTTCACTCCCCTCGGCTATAGACCTCTCTGTGGTGCTGGATGGGGCACGCGGAACCTTAACCGATGGAGTGACATATACCTGAAATGATTCATCCTCTGGCACTTTCTCCGTTGACCTCTTAGTCCTGTCTTTTTTTGTAGTTTTCTTGGGTGTGTTAACTTCTTCAGCTTTCTCAGCTGGTGGCACACTGGGGATGGGTAAGAGTAGATTCCTGTGTAATGTTCGTGTCCTTCCTTCACCACTTACCCGTTTAACAGTGAACACAGGCACATCATTGTTTGGCTGGTCCAACACAATGTAGGTGTCTTCCTCCCATTTGTCGGCTAGTTTGTGACAAATCACTGCCTCCGCATGGGATCGAACCCGGGACCTCCGGCTTACTAGTCTTACGCTCAACCGAAAGAGAAGTTCCCTATAGACGAGCGATATATTGCGGCTAGTATTTACCAGGGTTACATACTCCCCTTCCAGGAAAGAACTCGTCCTCGAGTTTTTTCAGGGGTAACAGCGATGCTTGTGGAGCAAGGCCGAGGATTTTTCCCGGGGGCCCACGGTGGGCGCCATTGTAAAAGTCTGGTTTTTGAAAACATACAACATGGACGTGATGCTTTCAATTCTATGGTTTATTATCATCTTCAAACCTTTTTTCAATAGCACTGACGTCGGCGTCCAGGGTACAAGCGCTACATTACCTTGATACTAATTTCATGAGGATGATGAAGGATACGGTTACTTTTGATATAGTCGAACTGAAAAAAAGAAAAAGAATATGTGTTGTTAGAACTCTTAAAAGTTGTCTTGAACGAACGACTAAACGAGAATCTAGTAGGCTGTTTGTGTCATTCAAAACTTTTAAAACTGTGAGTACATCTACTATTGCCAGGTGGCTGAAGGAGGTTCTAGTGTTCTCTGGTATTGACACTTCACGTTTTATAGCACACTCTTACCGGAGTGCTTCTACATCTGCTGCATTGATGTCAGGTATCAAGCTCAGTGATATTTTGTAAACAGCAGACTGGTCTAAAGTTTACAGCGACTTTCAATGAATATTACAACAGAGATGTGGAAGTTTCCAATTCCTTTGCTATCTCTGTTTTAGGCCGATAATTTATTGTCGGTGACTTTGCTATCTACAGTATGGGATATGTCAGTTATTAAAATTAGTAAAATATAATTGACGTCCTTGTTTTATTTTGTTGATGAATGCTTTAAACTTGCTATGTGATACCCTCGTAAGCCGAGGCCTTAGTGTAAAAGAATGGGACCCTCCTCCAAGTATCCTTTAGGATATGATGGAGGAGGGGCATTCTTTAAACTAATAGCCCGAGGGTAAAAGGGTATCTACCCAGCCTAAATGTCAACTGCTTTATGCATTTTGTGCTGTTATGCATGTCCCACCCTTGTTGATATGTTGTCATTATCAACAAAATTTGGATTCTCTAAAGGATGTCGATTTGCACACGTGCACGCGTTTAATACTACATACTGTTATGAATATTCATAGGGTAAAAACCTCTTTGAATGGAGGTCGTCTCTCACAGGTCAGCGAGAATATGCTATGTGTTTAAAGAATGCCCCTCCTCCATCATATCCTAAAGGATACTTGGAGGAGGGTCCCATTTTGGAAACCCCACCTTTGAATTTTAAATTTAGTTTGACCACACGCTCCGACGTCCACGGCTAGAACGACAAACCTCATCCCCTACCGCACGCACTTTCCTGTCCTAGCACGTGCCCACAATATGTCAAACGTTCGTAACTACGGGACATTTATTTTCCACTATACTCCGAACTGCGGAAAATGTTTAAATAACCATAGGAGAAACATAAGAAATCGTATCCGGATAGGGTATAAATCTACAAACGATACCAATACCAGCATGGAGCTGTATACAAAGATACAGTTTGTCGGAATCAAATTTCAAAATCAGATTAAGGTTTGTGTAAGGAACTTAGGGGGGAGGGGAAATATAACAAATTTCAGATTGCCAGTATGGTTTTGGTCATAATAGTCATCTTTAGACTATTAGGGGATATTTGTTTAGGACATTTACTCAATGTCGGGAGATCTTGCAGAGAGAGCCCGGGATATGGGTATATATACGTATGGTCCCTCACTGTCGCAGCCACAAAGTGAACTTCATCAGTAAGTCCACAATGGGGTTTTCAGCGTTACATACCTGGTCATGTGGGAATAAGTGGAAATATAGTAAGTGCTGATGAGGCAGCTCTTAATCCACATCCGAAAGATAGTAAGCCTTATTCTGATTTTCAACGTTCCATATATTGAACTTTATTAGAACTAATTTGTAAAATAACTTGTGCCTAATATAATCCTCTTGTATATTTGACGCAAATAAAATTATGTATAAAGTTGTCGCAAAGGTATTGCGAATATACGCATAATTATTGTGGTTTTTCGCAATTGTTTTGTGTTTCATATGGCACATATTTCTCCTTAATGCCTCCTGTATATTTCTCTTACATGTACGAACCTCGTGTGCCTTCTATGCTATTCCTACGTGCATACGACCACTAATTTTAGTTTTAAATTGCATTCAACATTATGACTACTGCCGAATCTATATACCACGAAAAAAGCACAGCTTTTTCGAAGTACTTACTCAAAGATGGAAGCATCCCCGTAATGGTCATTCCAAAATGCATAGGCAGATCCACTGGGGTGTATTCTCACCATTGTTTCGGGTCGTCAACATTATTACAACTGAAAATCAATATTTGTGATCATCACTTTCAAGACCATACTTTCTTTTAATAGGAAAGAGTCACAGCATTTTTTTTTTTTACAAAGAATAAGTATGAAGATTTTCAAAACAAACTAAAAATGAGACAGAGTTCTGCTTCCCTATTTCCTCTTCACCTACATATGTGTACATACACATTTTTCACAGTGTTAACAAATATGGATGGGGTGAAAACGTTTTTGGACATCTAGACTAATTTCTTGGTTAAAAAGGAGAAATAAATCATCTCGCAACTCTCGACAGTGGTTTTTTTTCAATCCTTAATGGAATTTATTTAATTTCGTCAATTTCGTCAATTAAGTCCTATTCTGTAGTATCCATAAGGTGCGGATGCCTTATGGTGCTTTGTTAACCACATTTAACAATATTTAATAATAATATTTATTCAGGTAAAAGGCAAATAATACACGTATATCATATTTAGCAGATTCGACATATATATATAGAATATCACAGAATGAGATCTTATTTTTATAAGTTATTTATGCCATAAAACTAGTAATCAGTCAGGTGTTAAAACTGGATTGGATTAGATTAATTTAGGCCTTTACCTGGGATGACCCATAAAGCCACATTGTGGCTTAATTCCAATGGGGTCCCTTAGATCTAAATAAAAAAAAAATCATTCATAAAATAGTTACATTGTTATTTGATAAGACTCTAAGACACTTCTTTTATAAAAAAATAAATAGATATAGAATGTTACATGTGCCATAGGCTATACTCAATAAAATAATGGTAATTGAATGATACAAAATATGAAGAGATTAACAATATATTGGAATTTTAACAATCAAAGATATACAGTATTAACTTAAAATGTTACCTGCCAAAGGGCTGGTGGTTGGGCCAATCCCTACCGACCAAACTCTCGGACATTAACGTACATTAATACAATTGATTGACATGTACTGGTATATAACTGATACTAATAAAAATCTAACAGAACATAAAAAATGGAATGTAAATAGGATTTAAGTCAAATGTGTAATGATTTTGAATAATTCAATTGACAAATTTTAACAAGTTTTATTTAAATTAATTGCTACTTGCAGAAGAGGGCTGGTGGTTTGGCCAATCCCTACCGACCAAACTCTCAGACTGCATATAAAGTAACGATATAGTATGCTTAAATAACAATGTTTATGATTATATTTGAATTAAGAAGTAATAGAGTATATCACTGAAGTCTCACTTTTATCCTTTCACAAAATCACATTTTTGTTCCGATCTAAAATTTGATGTCAAATGTTGTTTGACCAGAAATTTGAATCAGTGCAAGTTCTTGGTTGCCTTAATATTATCTGGTAATGCATTCCAGTCCTTTATTGCATTGTAAAAGAAAGACGTGGACTCTACCCCACTTATATTATGTATATAAAAGTTAGATTGGCTTGATCTTGTACACCTCTTGTTGTTCCTTTCAAAACCTTCCTTCATATAAGCTGGACATTTTTCATGATTTTTTTTAAAACTATTACTTGCATTCAACATATTTATTTTTTCCAGTTCTCCAAAAGTTATTCTTTTTCTCCAATCTTAATCCAAAATAAAACGAACAACCTTGTTTTGTATAACTTGAAGTTTGTGTTTGAGAGTTTTGGAGATACCCTCGTACCAAGATGAGCAAGCATAGTCAAAATGACATTGGATAAGTGCCGAGCAGTGTTTTTCTTGATGACAGAGTTAGGCTTTTTCTGGTTCGGTATAAAAAAATAGTCTCTGATTAATTTTCTGTATAGCATTGTTCACAATATGTTGTCCTGAAAGAAACTGGTCTAAGATTACACCCAGATATTTTACGTGTAGTTTGGACTCAATAGTATGTCCATTGCATTTAATATTAAAACAATTTGAAGTCCAATTTCTCAATTTTCCTTTAGGGCGCTTATTGTTTTCCCAAGATGAAGTGAAAGTTTATTATCTACAAGCCAATCGTGCAGGATTCCAGTGTTTTGGATAATTTATCTGATATTATGTTTGGGTCTTTGTGTGAAAAAAATATAGCACTCTCATCTGCATATAATAGGAGTTTGCACTCAGAGTCGATACTTATCTGCATGTCATTAACATACGTTAAAAATAAAAGTGGCCTAGTATATATACTACCCTGGGGTACCCCACAGTTTACATCTGCAATGCTGGAATTTGTTTTGTTAACATGAACAAGTTGTTTTCCTTGCATGAGATAGGATTTAAACCATGCAATAGACTCAATACCCATACATTTAAGTTTTTCACAAAGAATATCATGGTCAACTGTATCAAATGCTTTTTGTAAATCTAAAAGTACCATGCCTGTAAAAAGACCTTTAGCTGTCTGGGATTTAATATAGTCTACAAGATGGATGAGGCAAGAATCATGTTCTGAATCTTTTTTTACATCAAAAATGGTTGCATCGTAAATGAACACCCAAATCTTGTAGAAAACGGAAAGAAAAATCAATCTAATCTCATGCTCGGTCAATATCAGACTGTATTCACAGGACGCTTTTACTCGCAACATGATATGCCCGCTACAAACGTTCAGGTGATCTCGATTATTTAGTTTGCCTGACGAAGCAGACAACACAAAATCTAGTGACGTCCTTCTCAAAACATTACAGAAAGGGGCAAAGAAACAGCTGATTTAAGTTTCCATATTTAGATATTGTGCCATATCCTTTTGTTGTTATAGGTTGTATGAATGGAAAGAAACATCGAAGTTCTTCAAGGTTTTGTGTAAAACACAGGTGTGTACAGTAACTGAAAACTTGGTAGGAAAACAGATGCAATTTGTTTACATTATTGGTCTTTCTTGTTCACGCGATGTAAACAACGTAGATAAGTCACGATTAAGGTAGCAAGAGGTAAACATGTCACTTCTTGTGGCATTTTCCCTTTTGAGTCTTCCATGATGCATTTTAACTTAGGCTACTTTCAGTACGGCAATTTTATATTCTATGTTCTATACATAACTGTACTTCATGTTGATATGTGTCATTTCGTCTTGCATTACATAACGCCCAGACAAACTAAGGCCGTTTTTTTCATTCATTGATATCTTAAAGCCCGGACACGTTTTGATTTAAATCAGATAAGTATGTGTAGCTTACATAAGTATTCTTGGTGTATGGGAGTTTGTGCACCATCATAAAATTGTGATAAATTCTTATCCTTTTCATAATGACTTTCATTTATGATGACACTGTTCAGGGTGCAAGCACGATTGGCTGGGTAAGACCATCCAGCTTATCCTTGAGGGAGTGGGGTGAAGGTTAGCCCTCAGAATTTCTACCATGCATACACTAAAATCACTATATATATAGTTTTTGGACTAATACACACAATCAACACAAATTAAAAAGGACATTTTAGGATTTTTCAGATGCATGCAACTGCTTATTTGCTTACATGGCAGCTATATATGTGCTTGGTACATGCATTTCATGTCTGTAACAGGAAAGGAAAAATGACTCCAGCTTGAGATTTGAATCCTATCCTCAAAACAGACACTTATATAAACCAACTGAGCTATATACCTGGTCAGCTCATGCAGCAATATTCCTCCCTCTATCTACAAGAGTCTTTGACCCTGAAAATTGATTGATTGATAGGTTTTACGTCCGCTTCACTACCGTATTCCCTGAAAACACACATGGCCCTATATATACCGCCCTCTATGGGTAAATTATAATATTTAATGTCAGCTGTAATTTATAGACCAATTACAGCAAAATGGAGAGAAAATTTCAAACTAGATTACTTTATATATTGCATAAATAAGATATATATCAACATATGGATAGGATTACCAATCACTGAGTCAAAATGTTGAGAGAACAAAATAAGAAAAAATATTACCCATGCTGTATTGTAAAATAAATAGTACCTAATGTAAAGGAAAAGAAACGTGCAGGTATTAATTGACATTATTGTAAACACAAATCTATGATCTGAGGCAGAGTAACCGCTTGTCTTTCAAGAACTGAGTCAATTATTTTGACTTTCAAAGTAAGACATGTACTATTCAGTGTATCATACATACCGTAGTTTCGACTAAATTGGTGCTACATTAATTGTATTGACTTATCTGAAGTTACCAAAGATGAACAACTCCAAAGATAGTCATATCTTTACCAAATTTTGTACCTCAATATTTTATCAGGAAAATGAGATTGAGTTTTTTGTGTGTTTTTTTTGTAAAATGCATATTGAAAAATCAGAGATTCAAATTTTTTTTTTACAGCAATTTATGATGAAAAGCCATAAATATGTGAAATATTGATTCAAAAATGTTTTCTATCACATGTACAGTGTGCACAAAGATATTTCAAACAATGATTACCGTGCATCATAATATTTAATAATGAATCAGATAATGGAACCTTTTTTTCTTGTGATTAAATATGCTGTCAAGATAAGAAGACTTAATTAAATCTACTGTACTGTACATGTGTTGTATGGCAACTCTTACCCTTCCTAGTAACTGGTTTTATCTCTGGTAAATTGTGGCGTTCTTTTGTAATGCTGTCTTCAGTCCAGTTGTCTTTCTACATACATTTTTGCATTTTTGTTGTCCTTGTTTAATTGTTGACACTGATATATATGTTTCTGTCTCTAGGTACTAGAGACTAGTAGAGTCTGTATGTTGATATTTAAGCATTGAACTGCTTGCACAAAAAGCAAATTCAATGAAGCACACTAGCGCTTCATGTTGAATTTGCCTTTGTCCAGTTGGAATTCATACTGCCTATGAATACCAACTGAAAGCAGTTCAATACTTATATTTACTATTTTTGGAATCTGTTCATCTCATAAGAAAAATTCAATTACCCTTATCATTATTCAGTATTTATATATATAAGTTCAAAAAATGTATGATTCATGTTTGCTTGTTCAATGAATAGAACAGCCATCACCCCGTCCCGGGAAGGGTCAGTAGTATCCAACATAACGATTATGACATCATAATAATGTTGACATCAACAATCAGTCCATGGCATTCATAGCCTTATATATATGAATATCAACTGAATTTGGTAGGCTTATATAATGGCAATGCCATACGATGGTTGATATTGATATAATTGTTTCTGTTTTAACATGTACATGTTCAAGTCTGTGTTTTGATATGAATGTTTCTGTTTTAAGGTACTAGAGTCTGTCTGGTGGTATGAGAGTGGAAGTAAATCGATGTTTAACCAGTCACAGTTGGTGGATGGTAAGCTGCCAGTGTTTGTGTTTCCATCGTCTCTGACGTTTTACTCGGACGACCAATCCACACACAAGCAGGTCCTTACACTCTACAATCCCTATGACTTCCCACTTAGATTCAAAGGTAAGTCAATCCACTATCAACCTATTACTGTCTGTTTGTATGAAAAAGCTATATAGAGAACAATTTAAAAAAAGATATAATTTATGTCCCAAGCTTGTTAAATGTCAATGAACGGATCTAGAGGAGCTATGCTGGATTGGTATGATCACGACACACTGGTCAAGGTAGGTCAGAGGGACCAGATGAAGAGCAATTCAGCCATCACTTTAGTGGCAAAGTATATATATAGCCTGCTATTCATCAACTTTTAACCTTATATCAAATTTATCATATGACAGAGGGACCAGATGAAGAGCAATTCAGCCATCACTTTAGTAGCAAAGTATATATATATAGTCTACTATTCATCAACTTTTAACCAGCTAGTTTACTCAGAATACTTATAAAAACAACAATATCGTATGTAAAGATTTAACCGGGTATTGCTTTCAAGTCAACTGCCTTTTTTCAAAACTTTGAGAACACTGAGATAAGAGCGTAATGGTACATTGATGACAATAGTGTATATAACTCATCTAATAGTGACAGCGGAGAACTTACCAGCATCTTCTGTCCAATTGTAATTCTATTACTTATCTATATACTTCGTATTGCATTCCTTAGCACCACCTCACTTTGGCTATATTACAAATTATTTGCAATGTAATGAAGACGATTGGTTCAGTTCTTAGGCTAGGACATTTATGTACCAAAGCCCTTAAAAAATATATTTGCTATTCCCTGCTAACATTTACGGTACTTAGGGTGAAAGCTACGACTGCTTTACCAGATATCAATATATTGTGACTGGGTGGAAAACTTTTATTGGTGTCTTCAACATAAGTAAATATAGCATTCTTAAGTCTACATTAAATCGGTGCTATCTCAAAGAGGCAAATATTCCAACATGTCCCCTTTAGCAGAAGCATGAAGGTGTGTCCTTAAATGACTTCAATGGGATGCTAAACCCACTAAACATTCATCCTCTTCTTGTAAACAATGATAGCAATAACCAGTATCCAATTTATTCATCAGATAAATGACATTTGATTAACATTGTTCATACTCTCGGGTAGAAGAAACAAGAATGGTAAGACAAATGTCCAAATTGTTTGAAATGAATGTTTTATGTTTGCAGTGTTATGTACAACTCCAAGAAAATACACAGTGGTGGAGGCTGAAGGCACCATCAAGGAGAAGTGTTGTTGTGATATGTAAGTGCACATGAGGATATAGGTTAAGTCAGTACAGGTAAACTACATGTGTACACTTAGTAGTGGCTGTACATTGTTGTTGAGGATGTAGATTGTACAGGTATACTACATGTGTACACTTAGTAGTGGCTGTGTATTGTTGTTGAGGATGTAGATTGTACAGGTATACTACATGTGTACCATTAGTAGTGGCTGTATATTATTGTTGAGGATGTAGATTGTACAGGTATACTACATGTGTACACTTAGTAGTGGCTATACATTGTTTTTGAGAATGTAGATTACATGTGTACACTTAGTAGTGGCTGAACATTGTTGTTGAGGATGTAGATTGTGCAGGTATACTACATGTGTACTATTAGTAGTGGCTGTACATTGTTGTTGAGGATGAATATTGTACAGGTATACTACATGTGTACACTTAGTGGTGGCTGTAAATTGTTGTTGAGGATGTAGATCGTACAGGTATACTACATGTGTCCACTTAATAGTGGCTGTACATTGTTGTTGCGGATGTAGATTGTACAGGTATGCTACATGTGTACACTTAGTACTGGCTGTACATTGGTGTTGAGGAGGTAGATGGTACAGGTATACTACAGGTGTACACCTAGTAGTGACTGTACATTGTTGTTGAGGATGGAGATTGTACAGGGATACTACATGTGTACACCTAGTAGTGACTGTACATTGTTGTTGAGGATGGAGATTGTACAGGGATACTACATGTGTACACCTAGTAGTGGCTGTACATTGTTGGTGAGGATGTAGCTTGTACAGGTAAACTACATTTGTACACTTAGTAGTGGCTGTATATTGTTGTTGAGGATATAGATCGTCCAGGTATACTACATGTGTACACTTAGAAGTGGCTGGACATTGTTGTTGAGGAGGGAGATTGTACAGGTATACTAAATGTGTACACTTAGTAGTGGCTGTACATTGGTGTTGAGGAGGTAGATGGTACAGGTATACTACAGGTGTACACCTAGTAGTGACTGTACAGTGTTGTTGAGGATGTAGATTGGACAGGTATACTACATGTGTATACTATTAGTAGTGGTTGTACATTGTTGTTGAGGATGTTGATTGTACAGGTATACTACATGCGTAGACTTAGTAGTGGCTGTACATTGGTGTTGAGGAGGTAGATGGTACAGGTATACTACAGGTGTACACCTAGTAGTGACTGTACATTGTTGTTGAGGATGTTGATTGTACAGGTATACTACATGTGTACTATTAGTAGCGGCTGTACATTGTTGTTGAGGATGAATATTGTACAGGGATACTACATGTGTACACCTAGTAGTGACTGTACAGTGTTGTTGAGGATGTAGATTGGACAGGTATAGTACATGTGTACTATTAGTAGTGGCTGTATATTGTTGTTGAGGATATAGATCGTCCAGGTATACTACATGTGTACACCTAGTAGTGGCTGTACATTGTTGGTGAGGATGTAGCTTGTACAGGTAAACTACATTTGTACACTTAGTAGTGGCTGTAAATTGTTGTTGAGGATGTAGATCGTACAGGTATACTACATGTGTATACTATTAGTAGTGGTTGTACATTGTTGTTGAGGATGTATATTGTACAGGTATACTACATGTGTACACCTAGTAGTGACTGTACAGTGTTGTTGAGGATGTAGATTGGACAGGTATACTACATGTGTATACTATTAGTAGTGGTTGTACATTGTTGTTGAGGATGAATATTGTACAGGTATACTACATGTGTACTATTAGTAGTGGCTGTATATCTGTGCCTTGTAAAGTTGCTGGACACTTTCTGTGGTACTTTTGCTTGTGATATCGCTACAAAACAACACTCATAGTTTGAGGGTAACAACTTGGCCTCTGTTGATGCTGTCCGTTATCACTGGTAGTTTTTAGATCAACAATGTTCCATATAATTGTGTTTTGCCTGTTTTAGGGGCCAAATTTCAGCACCATTGAGACTGCTTATAATAGGTGGAGGGTTTTCCCCATTTTTGTCGAGAAATTACAGTATAAAAGAAGAAATAATTACCATATCTTTGATATATACTTACACATATTACCTTTGTTGTTTTTTTTGCAAAGTTTCTCTGGTATTTTACATGGTATTAAGTCAGAATAATGCAATTTTCAAAGTGTTGAGTTTAATTAAAATTGTGGAGTCAAAATATTTATTTGATAACCTTAAAATAACAATTATATAATCACATTATGCAAAGTTGTTACAACTGAAAACTTTTCAACACCTACAATGTATACAATTATCAATTATTATTGGATATAAACAGCTGAGCTTAAACAGTTTTAGTTTCAAAGAAAAATATGACTTAAAAGCAAAGGATGGTTCAACAAGTTTCAAGACTTAATTCCATTTGGTGCCAATTGATATGTTCAAATTCTTCTCTCATTGCTGATCAGTGACATTGTATAAGATCAATGGAGTTACTTCCCTTGTTTTCAGTTAGATATATGTTTAATAGTTTGAAGTGATTTGACTTTTCATAAAAACATTTTTTATCTGGAGTTTGAAGTATATATTAGAACTACAGATCTATGTCTCTTAATATACTAGTATGTCAAATGTGGCATAATTAATACTACATGTACTTGTATTCCAACCGAGATATTAGTATGTCGGTAGATGTATCAGACCTCCGACCAGATTCTGCCTTTAAATATACAGCATATTTCTTGTAGCAGCTTTAGGTTAATATTGCAACATACATGTAGTGATGTTAACATCTCATAAACTATGATGTATTTAAAGTTTATGAAAATAAAAGAAATATCAGTCGGATAGAAATGTTCAGGTGATCTCCAGAGACAGCAAAGACCTGTTCATCTTCGCTAGCCAAGTGTTCGCTTGGTATACACGCCAGTGGAATGTATACGAAGCAAACACTTGGCTTGCGAAGATGATCGAGACCTGTTGAAATGTGCCAACTTCTAAACTTATTTCATCAATGTCCTTTTGAATTGAAACTTACTTAAAGGCCTACATAGATACTGCTTGTAACTTGCATATATACTATACCTTTTCTTCATCGAGGAAAAACTAGTTGATACTGTCATTTACACATATATGCATTCCTGTGAGGCTTTCAAAAGTGTCGTCAGGTGCTGAATGACATAAATTGTACATGTGTAATTAGTTTTAAACAATACAAAAACGAAAGAAATCAAAACTAAATCAAATAATAAAGTCCAAAGTATGTGTTTACTCTTCTAAAAGGGATGCACATCACTGTGATACAGTATTAGATAATATAAAATGACTACATATCAGCCTCTGTATCAGCAAATGACCCCAATTTCATAATCAGTCTGATGACTGATTTAAATATAAACATATGTATGTAGGTTATTTATCTGCTGTTTACTTTGAGTTATTTTGAAGGGTTATGAGGAAAAGATTACGATAATGGGTCAAACCTTACAAAGACAGTTAGATGGAGGCTCAAAGGAGGAGGATAAATTGAAACAGAAAGGGGATACAGTTTTGGCTCGAGCCATGTTATAAGGAGGGTTTATTGAGGTCCTCAAAAGGGGTATGATAGATTGAGACGGGTTACAAAAGAGGATCCAGCCATGCAATAAGGAGGGTTTAATAGAGGTCCTCCAAAGGGGTATGGTAAATTGAGAGGGGTTACAATAGAGGGTACAGCCATGCAATGAAGAGAGTTTGATAGAGGTCCTCCAAAGGGGTAATCATATTAAATTTGAAAGGGGGTACAATAGAGGGTCCAGCCATGCAATGAAGATAGTTTGATAGAGGTCCTCCAAAGGGGTAATCATATTACATTTGAAAGGGGGTACAATAGAGGGTCCAGCCATGCAATGAAGATAGTTTGATAGAGATCCTCCAAAGGAGTATGATAAATTGAGAGGGGTACAATAGAGGGTCCAGCCATGCAATGAAGAGAGTTTGATAGAGGTCCTCCAAAGGGGTAATCATATTACATTTGAAAGGGGGTACAATAGAGGGTACAGCCAGAGGTTCCCCAAATGGTCTAATCATGCAATACACTGAAAAGACACGGCTGATACATCCTTGGAAGCATCTATCAAAAAACTTGTAATTAGAAAAATATGATCAGCGGCCTTAAAGTCTGATGTGGACATTGTTTCTGTGTTGCAGTGTGATACGACATATAGATATATGTATCAACAATGAGGGAATCAAGGATAAATTCCGGATTCAGGTTGTAGAGCATGGCCAGAGAAAAGTCCTTGGTAAGTCTTCAGGTTTTTTATTTCAGTTAAATCCAGGTGAAGTTTTGTAGTCAATGCAATGTCATCTGTCATCTCTGGTCTGTTGTATGTTGACTGTTGTCAACTTTCTCATTTGACAACTTCTTCTCAATAACCACTGACACCATTTCAGCCAAATGTGCTAGAAAGTATCCCTCGTTGATGGGGATTCAGGAAAAAGAGGTAAAAGTTTTGGCGTCTAAAAAATTCTGTAAGAAACTGGCCATCAAATGGCATTGTGTTCATTATTTAGCACCCTTTGTTCAATTTCTACTGTGTTTTAAGGAAAACAAAACACATCAACAATTATGGACATTAGGGGGTGCATTACAAAATATTTTTTGATATTTGTATCTTAAAACACTTCTGAAGAACTAAACACACTAGCTTAGAGTTATGATATTTGGCCAGTAGCATGCTGGCATTGATTGGTACACAGTTTACCAAATCAATAACCCTGACCTATATTTATGGTCACTAGAAAAATTTGTCAATACATGAGTGATAAGGGCTAATGATCGATTATAATCAAAACTTGATCAGTTTGCCCTTTCCGATTCCAGTTATCGATTAGAAATTCTATTATCGATACAATGGGTACTTCATTAAAATCAAAGTACTTAAATTCTTAAATGTAAAAAATGTAATTGATTTTCACTATATGATTGATAAAACTGCATAAAAATTGCTTTAATTCCATTCATTATAATAGAAGGAAACCTAGTGTATAGTTAATAACTCTGTCTATTGATGTAACTAATGCTACTTCTGATTACAAACCAATTACCAATTATGATATTAAACCGATTGCCTATCACTACCGGTACAATACATTTAAACAGCTTCTAAAGAATCGAGAATATATCACTAAATTACCTAGTCTGCTAAAACTGTCCGTAATCCAAATATTGCATCTTCAATACAAAGACTGTAAAATCTAAACTGTTTGATTGGTGATACTTTTTTACATTCTAGGAAGGAAGGAGGTGATATCTGTCCTGCTACCAAAGAGGGAAAGCTCACCACCGCCTCCAGAAGATAATTTTATGTCCATGAATATACCTGGACGGGGAAGGGACACTCCACAGCTTGCCAGTTCCTCTCGCCATGGTAAAGATCAAAATTTAATTTCACACAGTGTTTATTTCATGGCCTTGTAGATATACCTTTTAGGTACTAGGTGTGGATCATTACTGTAAGCAGGGAAACGTTTGCCAAGTCAAATGTTCACCCTTGGCTGGTAGAGTCTGTTTTCGCGCAGTGCTAAGTTTGCCCTTGACATGTAATCACTGTTCATAGGATGTTGTGTACTTATTTACACTGTCTTGATAAGTTCGCCCTCATTACCAATGGTGAAAAAGTTGAAAAGGTGAAAAGTTCCCAGTATAAAGTATTCTGGCACACTGTTATATGTAATCAATCTAACCACTAATATACGATAATGAAGTAGTAGCAGTGTCAAAATTTGAAAATCAAGTCTGAGCTGGAGTTTAAATAGAGAAATGTTGAAGAGAAATAAACAGGGGACCTCTATGTCTGGTAATATAAGCTGTTAGTTGATGTGGTATTGCAGTATCTGTATGTGCCTACTTGTTTGTTGTAGGTCCAGATGGAAATGCGCGGACTGGAGGCCCCAGTCTCTTCATCCTTTTGGCTGCAGTGACCTGTATTGTGGCCCTTATGTTGCCTACTCAGGGTGTGGACGGTGAAACCAATCTTCCTGAATATCTCCATCTATCTCTACACCAGAAACTTATAGCAGCTTATATATTAGGTAGGTAACTAATAAATCAAATATGTTCTACTGATTACATTGTTTTATATCACTTTTCTCTTACCGGGATCCCTGTTCCTCTGCCAAAATGTGGATACCCTTCGCAGTGAAGGTAGGGAGGGGCATACTTTAATAGGATTGTCTGTCTGTTGACACAATGTTGTTCAAACTACTGAACTGTTTTGAATGACACTTTAATTGAAACACACTAAACTAAAAGTGAAGGGATGTAAATGAAATATATATATTGGAGTTACCTCCCCTATTTATGGTGGTACAGTATTCACATTTGCCTTAGAAACATTCTGGAAAGAACTAGCTCTACGGTTCTTGGCTCAAGCAGGGTGGTATAAGTCTTTCTCCCACACCTGACAGATTTATCTCCCGTTTTGCCGGTGCTAGATTTATCTGTCTCCGCCCTAGGGTTGAGACGGGGGGATTCCCCTATTTATAACAATGGTATGACGTCACTGCAACAATACAATGACGTCACGTCAACAATCCATCAACGTCACGTCAACCCTGAATTTAGCATGTAACGTTATCATTACATTGTGTATATGATACACAATGGGGAAAACAGGGTAAGAGAAAAAGAATCATTCACCCCCTTGTGGGTAAGATAGGGGAATCTCAACCCTCGGGGAAAGATTCTTAAGTTGCCAATCACTCGGCAAAGCCTCGTGTTTGGCAACATAAGAATCTTCCCCCTCGGGTTGAGATTCCCCTATCTCACCCCAAAGGGGGTGAATGATTCTATTAGTCATTCTGGCAACAGTTTGTATATGTATTTGGCATGACTACAGCTTTGAAAGATCATTTTTGAAAAGAAAGCCATACCTTGCAGAACTTTTATGTAAAAAGGTAAAGATGGAATGAATAAATAGAAAGATAATGCAAAGGGGGCAATACCAGATTTGAGCCCAATCCCTCTACCATTGTACTGGGCTTTAATCAATGGCAAGCCGCACTACAGTTATATCAATAACAAAATTAAGGGGAGATTACTGAGTGTTGAAAAAACTACGGAAGAGTTCTCTAGTGTTTAGCCTTAAGGGGGAGAGGGATGCTTAAGTTATCTCTCTCTGAAAACTCTGATTTTTACAGTATAATCTACATGTTATGATTCTGTTTATATGTCACTTGCTTTTAGTTGACCTCGGCTATCAGTTACCGTAAAAACCCGTGTAATTTGCACACCTATGTAATTTGTGCAGGTACTTTTTGAGGCTGAAAATCTGGAAAAAAAGTTTCTACTCGAATACAAAAAATCTGGAAAAATGAAAATGAAAGACAAAGCGCTTGGGATTCTTAGGGTTATTGTAATTTTGTTTACAGGTACAATGATTTTAAAGACAAAGAAGAAACTGCGTAAAATGTGTATTTTGTTGTTTGTTTTCTGTGAAATATCTGATCACACATAACACACACACGTGTGTGCATATCGACACACATCAATTAATTTAGCAATATTTTACATAAAACATTTACTTGTTTTACAAAAATTTATCAATTCATAATTCATAATTACTGCATTGTCAGAACTACAGACTGATTTGACCGAAAAGGGGTTATTAAAAAATATGTTTATACTAGAAGCGTGAATATTCAATTCATCCTCTTCAAATTTACTCGAAGGGAAAAAAATCAAAGCAGACTACTCTATTTTTACGATGCTTCATTTAATAAAATATTGAAATATACGTAATGTTAGACGCAAAATCAAAGTGAAAGTGAGCCGGGAAAAAACATGCTGTACGCATAGGGGATTTGAAAAAAACCCAGAACTTACATGGAACGTAGCCTGTAATTGAACAACTGCATTTTTATTGCGATCGCCTTTTGTCTGTCGTCATCCGTCTTCTCCAAAACCCCTGAACCAATTTCAATGAAATTTTGCAGGGACCTTCCATGGACAAAGGTCAACAAAAATAGCGGCCGGTTTAGTCCCAAGCCCCCAGGGGACTGAGGGGCGGGGCCAAAAAGGGTCAAATTGACTAAAATTTCAAAAATCTTCTTCTCAAGACCCAGATATGGTAGAATCAAATACTCTTCATATATGGAAGGGTCTTAAGGGGCTTTACCAAAATTGTGAATTTCTTGACCCTGGGGTCTCACGTTTCCCCCTGGGGAGGGGGTAAACTTTACTATAGTTTATATAGGGAAATCACATTTTGGACCAACATTTGTTAATTTCCATTGGAAGTAATTCAATTTGGGTTAGCACTATCAGTATTAGGTAGCAGTTTGATAATAAGCACATATGAGCCCTGACTGACCCCCAGGGCCTGATGGGTGGGGCCAAAATTTATTATGGTTTATAATGGCAAATGATACTTTGAATATTACATGTTAATAACTTGATTGGAATTATAACCTTGAGTTGACAGTTTGATACTTTGAAAATTTTGAGCCAGCCCTACACCCAAGGGCTGTAGGGTGGGGCTCAAAGGAGTTAGTGTACTAAAATTTCTTCATTTTCCTTGTTTAGAATCAGAGGTGCTAGTTTCAAATACTTTTTAGTCTGAAATCTGTATGCTAGATATTGAAGGTGGTTTTATTGTTTTTTGTCACTTTGAATAATATTTCTGTTCATGTTAAAAACAAAATCATCTCTCTGTGTAAATATATCAGGTGACCGTTAAGGCCCATGGGCCTCTTGTCATGATTATAGGGGAAAAGCGCAGAGATGTCGAAACGTAAGTTGATAGGCGATTCCCTGTCATCATATTTGGCTAAACTTTCTTCATTTGGTTTTCCCATAGATTGATTTCAAGAAGACTTACACCTATTTAAATAATAATTTTCACATAAACTCAGGTAAAAACACATTATGTATCAACTGTATCTTTTATTGATGTTTGACATAAATAAATTTGTTAATTGTCATTTGTCTTTGAGTTCCGTGTACCAAGGGAGATAATCTCTGGTGCCCAAGATGGCAGTCTGCCAGAATCGTCAATCTTTTCCTGAAAAAAACCTTGAAATTGCTTACACTTATTTTGCGAAACCCCCTACTTTGGGCATTAAATTTCTCAAAAGAAAGTGCGCAATTTACATAAGATTTTACGGTTCTTGTGTAAATATACAAAACCCAGAGATACCTCGGGATATTTTGTCACACCTGGGTATGTTATATAAACAATTACACAGTCTTTGAATATGAGCCAGGGTTATTTACCATTCCTGGCTTACTGTTAAATAATTGACACATGTCACTTACCTGGTTTGTCTCATTTGATAAGGATGGTATAATTATTTGTAGGTAGCCCAAATTAAATATCACATTGTCATATATTAGGCATACAAAACAGTTTCTGTTTGCATAAAAAGATTTATTTTTATTTTTTAAAGGGACATCATGGTGAAGTGTTCATTTTCATTGTCTATTTTTTCAAATACTACATAAGCATATCAAGTGAGTCTCCTTATGGAAAATAACGATCGGATTTGGCTGATACATATTCATAAAAATGAATAATTTTAAGATAATTATCGGGATTTCTACCTGTCTGACCAACGTTTTATTAAGAATTTCCCTGCTACAAACGCATGCGCATAGCACGCCATTTCATTGTAAACAAAATGTCTAGCCATTGGGAGGTGTTGGTGATGGAGTAAAAACCATTACCGCTTCAGCTACGAAAAGAAAAGTTGCCAAATGGTCAAAAGATAGCGCAAGGATTATGCTACGAAATCAAAATTGCAGATGGGAAGTATTCAAAGGAGAAACAAAGCTGTTGTGAATATGTAAACTAGGGAAGTGAAAGTGAGAGTCCTATCCTGGGTTGGAGGGAGGGAATACCAAGTCCTATTATCATTTATGATTGGAGGGGAAGGAACTTGGAGACCTAGCTACTGTAGCTGGAGGGGAGGGACATAAGTGGAAGGAATGTGATGTCTTACCATGAATGCAGGAGAAGGAAATCATGTGGTTGCCCTTCAGACTGGAAACAAATACCAAATGTGTACAATGAAAATAGATACAATACTTGTATAGGACAATTCATCAATATGCATGAATTATTCACAGTATGAAAGTAATGCTTTCTCGATTATCACACAGACAACCAGACAAAGATCAGGTGGCTTTAATGCATGTCATCACTGGATGATATTTCCATGTGTATAGAATTGTGTACGGTCCTTAGAATGAAAGGTCACATAAATATCACTATCTCAGTAAAACACTTTTGTACTTTAGAACTACAATGAAACCTGTCTTGATGACTACATGTCTATAAGACAACCTGTGTGTAAAGTCAGTCTGCCTTTAAAGACCTGCATATAAAGACCACCTGTCTAAAAAAAACACTTACCGTTACATCTGAAAACAATCTGTCTATTAAACAACCTACATATAAAGGCAACCTGTCTATAAAACAACTTACAAATAAAAACAGCCTGTCTATTAAAAAAACTCTGTATCAGGACAGCTTGTTTATAAGAACAACCTGTGTATATAGGAAGCCTGTTCATTAAAATAACATGTGTATAAAGACAACCTGTCTATTAAGACAACCTCTGCATAAAGTCAGAATTTGAAGACAACCTGTATATAAGACAATTAGTCTACAAAGAAACCTTTCTACAAAGACAACCATCCTATAAACTTTAAATTAGAGCCCAGTGTGTAAAGAGAGCCTGTCACTGTCAATAAGAGTCTGTATATAAAGACAGCCAGTATATAAAGCACAGTGTGTAAAGAGAGCCTGTCACTGTCAATAAGAGTCTGTGTATAAAGACGGCCAGCCTATAAAGCCCAGTGTGTAAAAAGAGCCTGCAGTCACTGTCAATAAGAGTCTGTGTATAAAGACAGCCAGCCTGTAAAGTCCAGTGTGTAAAGAGAGCCTGCAGTCACTGTCAATAAGAGTCTTTGTATAAAGACAGCCAGCCTATAAAGCCCAGTGTGTTAAGAGAGCCTGCAGTCACTGTCAATAAGAGTCTGTATATAAAGCCAGCCAGCCTATAAAGCACAGTGTGTGAAGAGAGCCTGCAAT